AAGATCTAGGTTCAAGGAGATCAAACAAAGTCATTAATGACGGTTCAACATTGTCAACAAAAATTTTAGTCCATTCTCATGATGAGACAATGTTCAGTACCAAGGATAAAGCATGAAGGCTTTTTAATGATTTCTAAATTTTATACGGGGTATATCAAATAGTGTATCTAAGGGATGACACGTTTAGAAATCACCTATATAAGTGTGAAGTGTTAGCCGCTTCAAGGAGAATTTTGCAAGGCCAATTCTCTACGCACTTATGAAACCAGGCGGTGTTCATAGCTGAAACAAACACAACAATGAGAACCAAAGACGGTTAAGGGTTGATTGTGTGACTTATGGTTGTCTAGGTATACACTAAAGTTCGACGGTTCAAAGATATCAAATCTACCGATTGACCGAGTATATCCGACATAAGTTCACTACGGAAAGTTCAAAGGGAAACCTACTTATCCAGATGCAATTAATCCTTGCTTGCAAATCACACAAGTCTTCATGCATACTTCTGTGATATAGTCATTCCCCATTCATGTGGGGGATTGTTGAGTTTCTTTTTAATATGGAAAGGTATTAAAAAGAGGATGAATGGAAAATGGAGGGAAATGAAAATTTTGAGTAAAATTTTAAGTTTCCCTCTCTTTTTAATGAGACAGTCCCTCATTGGTAGAGGAAAAGGAGTTTGGTGGGTTTATATACAAAGGCACTTCATGTAGCTCTTAAAGAGTTAAGAAGAAGGCAAGCCTCGCGCTGTCGTCGTTGCTCGCTCGCTCGGCTCGGCTTCGGCTACAGCTTCGGATTTGGATTTGGTCAAATGATCGATTGATTGATTAATTTTTTGGACCAAATTTATTTGTTAATAGTGAATATTAACGTAATATTATCCGTGTTTGTAACGGATGTTTTCCAATCCGTGAATATTAATGAGCAAGTGCTCATTCCACCATGAGTAGTGCTCCAGCCACCATTGCCATATTGATTGCTCCATTAGTAAACAGCCTGGTGCTCTGTCCACCATGGCTAAGTGCTCCACTTCATGAGTGGCAGCGGGTCCATTTTTAACAGCTTATTGCACTATAAATAGAGGGTGCAAGCAGCCTGTTGAAGACACACTGAAAACTTGAGAGCATTTAATCTTCTCTTCACCGAAAACTCAACGTTAGCTATACTTTGCACTCCTTCCTCTCAGATTTTCCATACGAATTTCTGACTTCTCCTCCCTTGTTCTGCATTGTTTTAAACTACTAAGAAAGCAACAGTAAGTGTGATTTGCTGCCGAACTTTGTGTTCGCTGAAACATTGGGGTTTGAAGTACCGCTACACCAGTGTGTAATTCGTTCTATCCTGGGAGGAAATAATCCATAACCTTGGGTACTAGGAGGGGATTAAATTCCTTAAGGAAACACTGTGAATTCAGTGGGCTCGAATTTTCATTTATATCATTTATATTTACGTTAATAATCTAACGTTTTAATTTCCATAATCATTAGTTTACAAATACAGGAGGAACAACAGACATCATTCCATTTTTTCAGACATTAACCCTCTCCAAGGAATCTACTTCTGTCCAAAAATGCTATGTTGAACTTTCAAGACTTGTCAAGGAAAAGCTCGGGAAAATAGATCCCTATTTCCTGAAGCTTTCAGATGCGATGATCACTTGGATTGAAGCTTGGGACGAGCTTAACCCAGCTTCTAAAGGTTCTTCCAAAATTCCCAATGGAACTTCCAAAAGAAAATTTCACTCATTAATTGCTACACTTAGTTTGAAGTATAAATAGTCTTCAATTTATTTAGTTTTATAGTTGTATTTCAGTTCTAGGTTTAGTCAAAATGAATAAGGGGATGATATTAGTAGATGTGATCCTCCTCCATTGGTTTTTAGTAGACTGCTAAGAGCCACAATGTAGGGCTTGTATTCTGGTTTACCCTAGATTTTCTAGTTTTTTTTTTTTCTTGAACTTGTTATGAGAATGAGATCTATACTTCTATTTTGCTATTATTTTTTTTAATCCATCATGTGTCCAAAACTTAATTAACCCGGATTCATGCCATAGAAAGCTTACGGTGGAGGTAGTGGCGAAACCGAAAATTTACAAGGTAATTCGAAAAAAAATTAGGATGTCATAGTTGGGAATGTATGACCTAAAGCAACTTTAACCTCCCTTCACTATAATACTTGAATTTTTCTTCTTGTCATGTCAAGATGATTCAACAGCTCATATATAGCCAAAAAAATCAATTTTACCCTATTTGCATAAAATTAATTTTCCGATGAAAGAATTTTCAGGTTGTCATGTTGGAGATGTGAATTGTCCTCTCACGAGCAGAACAACGTAGTCATCGGTTTAATTGATATTAAGTTTAATAGAGTAGTTTAATAAATCAAGTGGTTGATCTGATAATTTTCAAACTTAACAAGGAAATCAATTTCAGTAATTTCTGATATCAATGAAGATTTAGATTGAATCATTGCAGATCTATAAGGCATCTCAGCCTACATCTAGTGAGTTACGATCTCTCTCTTCTTCTTTTTCCCTTGGGAAGTTTCAAATCTTAATCTCAACCTGCTTGGGTAAATAAGGGTTGGTCTTTGTAGTTGTTGAAGGAAACTTCAGTAATATTCTAGTGTATAAATTTATCTGTTGATGACTTGGTAACGCAGAAGCGCAATCCACAATTTGTTTATGAGAAATTGACGACCAATTCAAATTCTGGAGATGTATTCGTTTTCACAATAGATCCCATTCATTTTCAATTTAATGTGGGAAAGACTAAAGCTGTTGTATTTGCTGGACTCCGTAGTCAAAATCCAGGAGTCATCACTATTGCGAATGCAATTTTTGGTTCGGACCCACCAATCAATCCCGATGTTCTCACAAAAGCATTCTAGTTGACAAGAAAGTTGTGGATTACCTCTAATCACAATTCTGGTGGGATAGCAATTGAAAAGTTATTTCAAAATATAATTGATCTACAAATAGTTATGGTATGGTTCTGTTAACTGTTTGTGTCACATAAATAAGTAATTCTGACGACTGGTTTCCCTCTCTATTTTAGTGTGATGTATTATTGGATGAGGATATGTCATGGCTTATAACAACAAACCTAGTCTATTTTCACAAGAGGAGTCTAGGAAAGGTAGTGCGTACGCACGTACGCAGACCTTACCCCTACCTTGTGAAGGTAGAGAGGCTGTTTCCGATAGACCCTCGGCTCAAAGAAACAAGATATGTTATGGAATAAAAATAATTTTATTGTTTGTCGCTTTGGAACAAAGTACAAGTGGGGAAAAAACATGGCATAGTGCTTGTGAAATATAGGAAGGCTATTTTATTTATCAAAATCCACCTCTAGAGTTTATAATCACCTGATGGTATAAAAGCTTTTTATACAATCATGTCATTTCTAAAATACTACGAGCAGGAGCAGATCCTGTTTTAAGCTTCGAAATATCTAATAATTTGTAACTCATGTTTAGCGAGGCTGCAATCAAGGGGACAACAAATCTTTAGAAGCATTAGTTCCAGAAGAATACCACCTACAGCAAGAAACAACTTATTTATACCATTTTACAGGTACAATGAAGGGTGCAGCAATTTTTTATTTTTCAATTATCAACTTTGAAAATCCTTGAGCTGTAATCACTGACTTCGCAATACCACTAATCAAAATCCAGCATTTAGATGCAGAAAAAGAGAAACTCCACTCCATAATCTACCTTCTCTCTGTTTTGTTGGAAACAACAGTAAGTGACTTAGTGCAGCTTTACAGCTTGAGATAACATGGATAAAGTCATAACAACTATTGACAGTATGACATTAGGCTAATGTTTTTACATAGTAGTACTAATTTCTTTTTTTTTTTCTAAGAAAACGAATGGAGAACAAGAAACAACATGTTACACAAAGAACTTATTAAATCGGAGTAATATCAAAACTAAGATAAAAGGTAATAAAGGGAAAGTGAAAAAAGAAATGGCCTACCTCCTTTAAGATTCAAAAAACCGACACAAATGAAATATCTACCTCCCAAGTCCTACAAGCATTTTCACAATCCTCTCTGCAAGGAAATGCAGAAGAAACAGATTATGAGAGGATAAAAAGCGGGCACAAGACCAGTTTGGCCAAGATATAATTTATGAACCAGGCAGTGGCAGACGCAAGATTTTGCACAAGTAGTGTCGGACTATTGTCGCGATTTGTCTTGTAAGAGGGTTGGACCTGGGACTTTTGGTGGTTTTAAGGTTTTGTTTTCAGTCTAAAATTGATAGTTACATCATATTATTTTCAAGCAGTTTCAAGCTATTGTATGTATACTTATTATTTTTTTCATTTTTTTCTTTTCATGAAGCGGTGTCAGATGACACCCCTTAATAAAGAGTATCTCCGCTATTGGAATCAAGATCTTCAGTTTTCTTACGCTTGGCTGCAGGCTCATCAGTAACCTTAAGGGTGCTAAATGCACGTACTGCTTTGGTACCCAAAAGAGGCACATGCTTACCAGTAATCTTGCGACCTGCCCTGAGTTTTGGGCCCCAATGCTTTTCGGGATTAGGAAGGAAACGAGCAACCTTCTTAGCCTGTGCCTTGCTAAAGGATGCAACAGCCCGAGCAAAATTAGCCTGAAATGAACATGAAGCAACAAGTTCCAGATGTAAGACCAAAAGAGGACATATCAGCTGACGTGTTCCGAAGAATCTAAAGATACAGTGAACTAAAGAACAAAGTGAGCTACAACACAAGTAGACAAGTGTAAATAGGTGTACGCATATTTGTATGGCTATGGACATTGCTAAGTTTCTTAATGCATATGTTGTTATTTACCTGAATCCATTTGACCTCACTGATATGAATATATGACAGCAAGTTTGACATTAAAGAAATTCAAACTTAATTAGAATCATCATAACTTTGTAACGAGTTTGAAAGAATGAGGAAGCAATTCTTGTTAGTCGCACTCAGATGATGGCCTAACATTTGAATTCTTGTAATGCTGCACTCAGATGGTGGCCTAACATTTGAATTTTTGTAATGCCGCACTCAGATGATGGCCTAACATTTGAATTTTTGTAATGCCGCACTCAGATGATGGTCTAACATTTGAATTCTTGTTAGTGCCGCACTCAGATGATGGCCTAACAATTGAATTCTTGTAATGCCGCACTCAGATGATGGCCTAACATTTGAATTCTTGTTAATGTCGCACTCAAATGATGGCCTAACATTTGAATTCTTGTTAATGCCGCACTCACATGATGGCCTAACATTTGAATTCTAGTGAAACAGAAGTCATAGGAGACTTCAGTGAGTCAACAAACTTGACCAGAACAGTTGAAGAATGAGAATACAAAACTTGGTCTTTATTTTATGCTCCTAACTAGCTTTGGAATAGTATATATTTTACAAATTCAACAACCTAGGATACGAGACTTTCCTACTACAAAGCACAAAACAACAGTGGAAAAAAAGATAAAGCATAAGCGTTCTGGCACGGTAGCAGTAAATAGCTAGGGAAACAAAAGGCCAAAATTCACCTGCAGAACAGGTTCCTTAGCAAGAATCATACTTCCAGCCTGGTTAGATGGTTGAGCTTTCACAGGATGATTTTTGACCTGCACATCGAATTTTATTAATTCTTCCACTATAACATGGAGAACAAGCAAATGGTTGCCCATACAATTATCAGATTAGGCTCTACAAGAGAAACAATCTGACACAACTCAAATTACTATGCAGAAACTATAAGTTGCAATGAAGTGTTAGGAGTTACTTCTCCTTTATTGTTCAGGGCTACTTTTTCTTTTGTTTGTTATTTTCTCTTTTCTCCCTAATTTTTTTTTAACAAGTATTTCATTCATCAAGAGAAGAAACCAAACTCAAAGATGGTGCTTGGCATTACATAGTCTGGCAACCCTCTAAACAAAAACAAAAAGAAGGGTTCCCATCTCTACTTTTTTTTTTCTTTCCTATTTTTAAGGCAAGAAACAGAGCTGACGGAAACAAGCAAACAAGGTACAGTTACCCAGCAGCGCATGATATCCCAAATGGTATGCATAGGAGCATCTGTTTTCAATCCCAAAGGATTCACATGAGTCCCCGATATGCGATATCCAGCATTGATTACAGCAGAGCGAAAGATAATTGCTGAGGGAGAAGTGCATTTCAGTGTTGCGGAGATATTGTGCAAACTCAGAAACAGAGGAATATCAGGTAATTCCTGCAAAAAATCACACTTCACTATTTAAGAATCCAATAAGAAGTCAAGCAGATCAGAAGCTCCCCTCCCCCAAGATAACCATTGAAAGTGTTTCTCCATCAATATGGCCTGCTATAAACAAGTGGTCACCAGGAACCACTGCTTTCCTCAAAGATTTTGTACAATGAGCATAACAGCATAAAAAGTAATGTCGTCACTATAATCAGGGTATATATGAAAACAGAAAATAAAAGTTTAAAAAACAGAAGTGACGATCAATTATAGGCAAACCACACCTCTGAAATTGCTGTCAGCACAGCACAGATTCGATCATAAGCTGGATACTGTTCCTTCATTGATTTCACATCAGCAAGTATGGCAGCTACCCATTCTTGATCATGGATGGGCGCAGACCATATCGGTCCACCCATATTGAATTTTTTTCCACAATCACTGCACTCTTGAGGAACAGCTGGGCCAAATCCGGGGTGGTATCTGAGGCTGTTATCCTAAAGAAGCTGAATTCAATATAAATGAGAGTATCCACTAAAGTGTAAAAAAATATCTCATGAGGACTACTTATTAACAAATTCTATGTAGTATGAACAGAACCCATGATCTAAAGAAAAAAGGAGATGCCTTCTCCACTGCATGTGTAACTGTCTCGAGGTTTCCTACAACTTTCTCTCAACTAGCAGACGAACTATCATTCCGCCGAAGGAACCATTATTCTTAATCTTCACAATAGACCAAGAAACAAAGCAGGTAAGCAGTTTTAATTGTTTAAACAGTTCTAATATGTACAGCATTCTCTTTCCTATGATAGGACTTTCAAACAAGGTCAATTCATAAATCAAGTCAAGTACTATTCAAGTCCGTCAAAGGAAAAAAATAGGATTTTCATGATTCATCTACTTTGTTTGACGGTTTTGAATAATACTACTTAATTTGATTTATGAATTAACCTCTCTTTTCTCTTCAATTTCTCTCCATTCTTTCTCCTTTCACCCTTCTCCTCTTCTGCTAATACATCAAAAAGTAACAAGAGTTTAGGGGTGAGCAGACTGCAGGTTTTAGTTGGTCGTGATATGTATTCATTGAAACAAAATTTTAAGTAATGGATAGAAAAGATAATGACAGAAAATGCATCGAAGAATTATAGCAATTCTGCTTGTAAACTAACGCACTACAGAGAAATTTCCTTTCTGACCTACTAAAGCCAATGTCAGCACAATCAGCAGATGAATTTGAGCTAATAACTCATGGTAACAATGAACAATACCATGAAGTTTCAGGGATCTACATCTTTAGGAACTTCTTTCAACTATATCACCTATGTATCTAGGCCAATGTTTGAGTATGAGCTGCTCAGTCCAGCACAGGCAGTTGTACAAAGAAGATACAGCAGAGATTTGAATTGGATGCAAACCTTTGCGATAGTTCTTCCGACTGGCTGAAGATGGAAAGAATCACAACCAGTGCACTGATAGACATATGAGAGCTTCAGAGGAGTATTCTTCATAGCACTTGCTGAACTGTACACAATGAATTGAACTCTTTAAATACCCTGACAGAAACCTATGCAATATGGGCTAGCAGCTAAAGTATAATGGAGAAACTCGTACCTATAGATACGAACAAAAACACGTACATAGAAGTCCATCTGAACAGATAATACTGGAACAATATATCTTTTGTACCGATTTGCATGGCTCTGAAATAAAATAAGAAATAATAACAAAATAAAATTTAATCAGATGAATTGAAAATCATAATGGTAGAAAATTGTTATAGAGAAACAAAAACGATAGACTCCTGATACTCTCTTAAACACGACAGGAAGACGTGTAGAATGATAGAAATCACAAGGAGACGCCAGATATCAAGACATCTGACTTCTTAATAGGAACAAATAATTAAAACTTTTTTATTGAAAAGATAATGATAAGGAATAGACACGAAAGCTTCCACAAAGCAAGTACCTCGATGCAGGCAAGAAGGATCCGCAAAGCCATTTCATGGCAATATTTCCCTCTCAAAGGATAGGAGCCATATCTAGTTGCACAAGTAAGATTTGTTCAATGATGAATAAAGTTAGATAATGCCAGAAGCAAGGAGAAATATGTTGGTTACTTGGAATAGCATACTTCTCCATTTCCCCCACATAGCACTGCCAAATCAGTAGCAGTACACATTAACATCCCCCCATCTGCAACAGATTGAACAGCAGAATCCAAGAACAGAGATGGTGATCCATAAGGATCAAGATCAACCTGCAATACAGTAAGCAGAAATATAAGAATGATAGTTCATTTGTGTAGATGAATTAGTCAAGCTTCTTTTTGAAGATATAACTAACTGGGAACTAGAAATTATCCTAAGTAATGTTGCTCATTACGGGCAACTACTAGATGCACCTCTACATAAAAGGTCATTTCCATTGAAGAATGTAAAAATTCAATAGCTTATGTTATAATCCTACCACATCAAATTCTTTGGGATGGGTAAGCATATAAACTCGAGCATCCGCAAGGTGGGACTCCAGCTTTGAGCATGCCACAGGACCATTGAATCTTATGTTTCTCCTGCAAGCTTCAACAGAGACTGCAAAGGGAAGAAACGTGACAATCTCAAATGGTGACAGAACACACCTTTATATTTGCAAAATCTGAACTCTTGATATCTCGTTTTATACATATATTAGTTTGTGGACAAGTTTAACAAGATCTATCATTTACTGACTACATAAGATGCTCTGAAAACTTTTTTCGCAAGATAAAGATCCTCTCATAAATAAATAAAATTTTAGGAATCCACTTTGTTCGACCCACCCAAGTTAACAAACCAGTACTTAGCATCAAATGAAGAAGTTCACACACATGTCTGACTACATAATAAGCATTTATTCTAATCAGATGCTCAGACTTAAGCTAAACCTTGTGAAACTATTCTACTGAAACATTCTTAATTCTCTTTGCTTTTTATGTATAACATTCTCCTATTTCTTTAATCCAACAGTGCCATAGCTTCTCTCCCTTTTCCTCATATTTTCTTTCCCTTGGTTAAGGAATGAGGGCAAGGTGCAACAAGACTTGCTAATTCGATGGAATCACCTTTATCATTGTCAAGGGCCACAACTTGACCAATTCCTTCTACTTCACGTGCATATCTTAAAGCCCTCAATCCAGAAGCTGAAAGAGCCTGTTAAATAAAATTGAAAAAACAAATCTTAATCATTGTAAATTTCTGCTTTTAAGTCTTACTGAAGACAGATTGAATAACCAGTAAGCCGTTAACAATCAACAGAAAGTGACCAAAAACCTCAAGAACTCGTGCTGGCTTCAGCTCTTCTCGATCTTTTTCCCGTAGATTTCTGGTCGGCGCCCCTGAGATGCTACATGGTTCATCCGAGGACATCTCTTCCAAGAGTTCATATCCATCATTGAATTTTCCATTATAGTGCACAGAATCAGCTGGAGGTTCCATTTCAGAAACTGATTCATCTGGTACTTTAGGGCCAGTCTTCACTCGTCTGTCCAACATTGATTCATGCTCCAGCTTGCGCTGTGATATAAAGGTCCTCAAAACAGCAATAGACATATCTCTATTATTCACCTGGTGTTAATAGATTTAAACTATCAGATCGTGATATCCCAAAGTGAAAAAGATGAGCTGCATTATGATGGCTACCACAATCCTTGAAGGTTCCAGCGTAAATTAAAAAGTAAAAAGGATACATACTCCTTAAGATGCAATTGTATATCAGTAAACACAAAAACAGAAAAGTAATTACATGCATTTTCTCTATTACCAAATAAATACCACAACTTATGTAATAGATTCACTTAATGCCCAAGGAGATGGCCGGGTTACTTAGGCATAGGAGTAACAACCTTGAAATCTCAGGTTCAAATCCTATTTACAACACTCATAACTTCAACACTAGTCCATTTGCTCCTTCATTGTTATTGGGTAGCTTTCTCCTATATCGGAGCTTGTGACAAGCTGACTGGTGGATTAGTCAAGGTGCAAACCATCCGGCCCAAATACCACAGCCATTAAAAGAAATCCAAAAACACTATCACAACTTAACCATGCTCTTGCTTCTGTACCACCAAAACCACACTTCCCATGTCGTGCCCTAAAAGAATGATTAAAATCTTTGTCCTCCGTTATTGATAAGAATTTACTTATAATAACGTTGCAAGTGAATGTAAATATTTTTAACAGTGACAATGTAGGGCAAACGATCATGTTCATCCTCAGTGTATTAAATACTCCGCCCTTGGTTCAGAAGAGTGTGCTTGAATGACCTTTTTGTGCATGTGGCCTCTATGTGAATTGACCTCTCTCTCCTGAAGAATGTGATGCCAGAGAGTCCATTGGAAAAATAGAAAGTCACCCTCTCTCCCAAATCTCTCACCATCTCATATGTTACACCACAAGAGCAGCTATTCAATGTCGTAGATGTTGCAACTTCTAGTGCCATACATTATATCTCTCACTTGAGACTTCTCAATATACAAAAAGTTTCTTATATGTTATAACCACTTTCAATAAGAAGTATACTTTCACAATCTCAATTGTCAAAACAGGTATGAGGTCAAAGGGCAGGTATTCATAGATAAGCGCCCATAAATCTTTTAATAATACCCATAACGAGATTGGAATGCCGTCCACCTAGTACAACAAAAGAAACAGAAGAAGCTATGCACAAGTAGGGGTGGCAGACGAGCGGGTCGAAAACAGGTTATGCAAAAAACGGATAAATTATCTGACCCGACTCATCTTTAACAATGATAAAAAATGGGTTAACCAGCGGATAATATGGATATCCATACTATCCATAGCTTCTTGAACATGATCACTTTTGGTAGAATTCCTAGTCTCCTAAACTTGAGGAACCCCAATTTGAGGCTTATAAACGTAAAAGCTAAACCCATTAGTTATCCATTTTCTAAATGGATAATATAGTTCTTATCCATATTTGACCTGTTTTAAAAGAGTTCATTATCCAACCCATTTTTAACTGGATAATATGGGTGGATAACTGTTTTCTTTTAACCATTTGCCACCACTACGCATAAGTAATGACCTCTTTGGCAAAACATCAAGCAACTATATGACATGATGATTGCAATAGTCACCTCGCCAGCTATAAGCTACTTACAAAGGTCACAAAAAATGCCCACAAATGTATTGTTGGTTCTCGGCTAGAGAAGACACAGCAGTGAGGATTTCCCTGAATCTCTAATGCTAACCTGGAAGGCTATAACCAAGAATAATTGCAGCTATAGACTAAACACAATGTCTTATTCTTGCAACAGAAAATCACAAAACAATTTAAAATAATTTAATTGCTTGGCTATTCTGCCAGTTTGAATCCCAGAGTGGTACTCAATGCCCGACCTCTTAATTTGATGAAAAGATTTGAACTTCAGCAATATCTTTCATCTTAACTCAAGCTCAAAGCAGTGGCGGATGAAGCATATCATCTACGGGTTCAACCAAAACAGTATTTTCCGCACGGATTATAGATACATATGTGAAAAATCATTAAATTTTTGAACCCATAATTTCTAAAGTGTAATGGGTTCATTGATAAAAACCTAAAGGTTGAACCCATCAAACTTAAATCGTACATCTGGCTCTGACTTAAAGGCAATGACAATTCAATGATCATGTCGTCAAATTGATAATGGGAAGAAATCACACAAGCACATCCTTTTTCTTGTGAAACCACAAATGTACTTATACTCCATCCGTTCCATAAACAATGACACATTTTTATATCTTAAAACACTTTGACATGACCTTCTCATTTTACCCGTAATGAGAAGCTTTTACATCCGCACAAAGGTTATGATATGTTTAAGACCACCAATTTTAAAAGTCTTCCTTTCTTTCTCTTAGCCGAGTCAATCTATGTAACATAAATTGAAACTGAGAAAGTGCTACTACAATAGCATCGGCTGATGCAAGTGTTAATCAGAGTATATGCCCAAACTTACTACCTTCCCTTTGACCTCCACATATATAGTTAAAAAAAAAATTTACACATACTCTTTCTATCCCAATTTATGTGAAGCACTTTCCTTTTTCTTTGTATGTGATAGATTTCTTCATTTAGAAATAATTAACTTTAAACTCCGCATGTTACACTTAACGAGACTATTTATATTTATAACCACACATGTCTGTGACTTGTTTTAAACCACAATTTTCACAGTGATGAGACGGAGGAAGTACTTATTTTTACCAATTTCGCACCCCACAATAACAAATAAGTAATAGGTCCAGCTATTGTATTTTACGCATTTAAAATCTTGAATTAAAAGTTCTAAAAAAAGACCTGGGTTTTGTTGTAAAAGACTTGATTTTTGGAATGCATAAGAATCTCAGCTTCTCCTTCTTTGATGATGGTGTAATCATTGAGGTCAAAGGAAGTGTCTTTCTGCTGCTTCTCGTCATCCCCTGTTTTCTCCTTGTCCATTGATGGATTGGGATTTTTCTGTTTTAAAAAACTTGAAGGGAGAATCGGTATACGCAGGGCGAACAACTTACCTTCAAGAACCTTAAACCCCTACTTCCACTCTCACTCTATGAAGAAAAAGAGAAAATGTAGAAATGGTACCTTTTGTTTGGGTAAGTTCAACATGGTCCTTTAGTTCAAATTGAATATAAAAATTTCCATTTGAATTTTTTATTTTCTGATTGAAGAGGTGATAATCCAAATTCAATTGAAATAATCTCGGATTGGATTTGATTTTTTAAGTTCGATTTTGAATAAATCGGTTAGAATATTTCGGATTTTAATTTTGAAATTATAAGTTGAGTTGTTTCTTTTTGACAAAAATGAACATCGAAACAAAGTATTCATATTAAATTGCCTAACAAATTACTCATTTTCACCACAATCATCCAATAGAGTATTCAAGTAATAAAATTATTATCAACGAAATTATTCTATTTTTAGTAATTTGGAACACATCAATTTTTTATTTTAACTTTTTCTTTAATAATATTTTCAATATATCATTTCACATGATTAAAACTAAGCAATTTCGGTATGTCGTTATGAAATATTCCAGCAAATAATACTTTGAATGTCAATTAGAAAAGTAGCAGAATAAGAATATGTGTATGGTTTTCTCTCGTGAACGAGTTGAATTAAGAGTAGGAATTTTAGTTTATTAGGAAGTTGTACAGTAAAGGTTAAGTAGCTGAAGATATATCTTATTATTATTTGATATTAAGAGTAATACAAACTTTAGAGGAGAAACTCCGCCTTCTATCTAAAAAAAACTCTATTGCAATCCCCCCCTCCCCCTCCCCCTCCCCGAAGCTCTCTAAACACCTGTTGCATGTCTACATCAGACACGGAGATGGAGATGGAGATGGAGATGTCCACAATTTCCCCAAAACCTCCAGATATTGAATCTTACCCAGCATGGTAATCTTCTACATACGTTCAAAAATAAACTACTAGTAGGGGAAGAAGGGATTGACATTGAAATAAACCCAGCCCCGTTCGCGCTAGATAGCGCACCAAACAAGGCAATAGCAAATACCCAGGAGACTGGGTTGACTTGACTATCAGAGAAAAAAAGGTTGCGCTTCCCAAGGAGGATCTAAATTGCATATACCAACCATAAAAGTTTTCAATAATTATCAAACTACAAGGCAAAACAATTTTCCATCAAATAATAAAAATGAAAGTCCAAGAACCGTGCAAAGTGAATCAAATCTTTTCCCTAATTGATTTAGGAGCAGATTATTTTGTTGCAAAATTCCAAAAACATGAAAGCATGACATCTGCCCTACAAAATGGACCATGGTTTATATTTGGCCACTTTCTATCATACCAAAGATGGAAATCAAATTTTGTTGCAACGGAAGCCAAACAGACACTGACAGTAGTATAGCTCCGTCTCCCACACATACCAACTGAATTTTATGATGAAATTATACTACAAAAAATTGGAAATTCAATAGGAAGACTAATGAGAATTGATGCATGCACATCGGCTATCCCGATAGGACGTTATGCTAGACTATGTGTTGAATTGCCATTGCATCAACAGGTTGCACAAATTATTCTCATCACGGACTACAAACAACAAATAGTATACGAACGTCTTGACAAGGTATTTGCCAATGAATAGTGGATCCAGTTTTATTCAAATGCATCAATTATTTATTTACTTAAAACTCACTCGGACCATAATAATTGTTAGTCAATCTCATTCCTAAACAAAGTCATCAATACCTAAAGCCTTTCCGTCTTGAACCAATTTGGTATGGTCACCCTAACTTCCATAATATAGTAGCAAGTAGCTGGTCAAATAACTCTTTCACCAGTGCCACCCCAATCTTTAGAGACAAAGTTCTAGCCTAGAAAAAAAAAGTATTCGGTGACATCTTCAGAAACAAAAAACATATCCTTGCTAGGTTCGAGGGCATTCAACTATCTCCCTCGTATCCCACTAGTTCTTACCTCCAACAATTGGGAATCTCCCTAAAACTCGATTACAATAATATTCTAAAACTCGAAGAAGACTACTGGAAACTACGGTCTAGAATTTATTGATTAAATGACGGAGACGCTAACACAAAATTCTTTCAAATTATAGCTACCAACAGGAAAAGAAAAAAAAATCTTCTAATTTAAGGATGATAACAACTCTTGGATAGATGACCCAACCATTTTGGATCATAGTTATCACTATTTCAAGAATGCTTTTACTACATCCCATAACAATTCGAACTGGAATAGCACTGAAAATGGACCTAAAAGTTTTAATCATATTGACCTCTCCTCTCTAGACAACCCCATCACTACTGCTGAAATTACTAAGGTATGCTTTTCTTTTAAACCTTATAAAGCGCATGTACCTGACGGCATGCGCCCTTTCTTCTTTCAAAAATACTGGGATACTGTGGGGCAATTAGTGATTCATTTATGTCAAGAAGCATTCAAAAATGGATCCCAAATGATATCAATGATATCTTTCTTTGCCTAATCCCAAAAATCCCTAATGCTAATAATCTAAAAAAAATTAGACCCATAGGTGTATCTAACACTATATACAAGATTATTATCACGCCCCGAACTTGGGGAGCGCGACCGGCGCTCAACTGAGATATCTCAGTCAAGCAAGCCTACTTGATGCCTCCTACCCGAATTAACCTATGAATCAAGTGAAGGTGCATACCATTCATTGAACAATGAGAGGATTTCATAAATAACACGAATTTCATTGTCATTAGTTACTTCATTTATAATTCACAAAATACATTATATATTCATAGTTTAGAAGTGGAAACATGTGATATATCTACAACATTTCTAGTTTAATTTTTAAAATCACGATACAACCACACTATGTCTATGGAGCCTCTATCTGATACAAAAGAGTATTGTGATGGTGCCGGCAACAGGGCCCCGACTTTACCTCAAAACAATATATATAAGAGACAAAAGATACAAGACCCCGATATGAAGTGGGGCTCACCAAGTCAGCTGAGAAGAGGGTATACGCTATCACTGATCGATGTCGCCTGCTGAGGAACCACCTGCATCCATTAAAGATGCAGCGCCCCTGACAAAAGGGGTGTTAGTACATGTAGAATAATATTAGTATGTAAGACTAAACACCCTCTCAATGAATCGAGTAACAGTACAAGGAAACATGGAATCAATGAGAGCCTCAAACAATATTAGAGCATCAAGTTAAGAGAACAATAATTTTTCAAGTAAACATCGATATTTTTAAATTGGGGGATCTTTAGTACCGATACACCACCGTGCTTTTAGCATGGAGTCCGATCTCGGTCCGATCAGCTAAGTCATCTCACCCCGAGACATCCAATCACAATACCACCACATGTGCGGCATGGCGTTCGATCTCGGCCCGATTGGCTAAGCCGTCTCACCACAATGTCGTGTGGGTCTACATCACATTCCGGTAGCAATCATCTCATCCCAATTAAGGGAAAAAATCTCAACACATTAACCCAATCCCAATTAAGGGGAATAGTTATCCCTCAATCACTCATATACCGACATGTGTAGTTTTTGGGTTAAGTTATTTCAACCTACCCTTCCTCGGTGACTAACGACACTCCCAAAACATTTATTATATAAAGGAATTACGGCCCATTTCATAATCTTTGACACATCCTTTCATTTTATTGGCACTATTGACCACAAGTGTAGTTTTCTTTCTTGACATGATGATCACATTTTATATTTCATACTCATTTTCAAGCATCCTCATAGATTATCAACAATAAGAGCATTTGGAATCAAGACTTTAAATTGTATATGGTCAAAATTGAGGAGCCCGATTTTGAAGTCTTAAATCGGGACTATGAGTTCGAGTCCGTGTGACTCGCAGTGGGGGTTGGACCCGGCTGAAGGATACATACTTTGAGGGAGCAAATCAAAGGCCTGGAGCAACCTACATCGAGGGCAGTACAATATCGAAGGCACTCAAGAAAGAGCAGGAGTTTCTCAAGGACACGTGGATCAGAGCATGAATTAAAGGATAAGATTTGTACGAAATGATACAGATCCGTACTAGATTGTTATACACCTGTGACAATAGAATTCTTTATCACAATTAGGAGTGTATTATATTGGGGTTTTACCCTCCTATATAAAGGGGACCCCAATCATTTGTAAGACACATTATTCACTACAATAGAATATTCTACTCTGCTTTTCTTATTTACCGTGCTCAACAATTGTTCTTCAGCTTTATTGTTTTTACTTTATTGTTCATACTTCATTGCTCTTAGCTCACCTCGATGTCCCCAAGAAAATTGAGCTCGAGGTCCTTATTGCTTTAGCAACACTGGTTTGGTTCATCAATTCTTCTTACTTAAACTTAATATTATTTGTATATTCACTAGTATTAGAATAAATCACATATCTTTAAAACCACAAATCATATTTAATTGTTACTCCCATTTTTCGAGGTAAACAGTTTGGCGCCCACCGTGGGGATAAAGATAGTAGTGCTTATTTTAGTGCTAGTTTTTTGATAACACACGTTATTTTTCACACTTTTTCTTATCAAAGATTCTTTGATTTCAGGCTTAAACATGTCTAGCACGCATATACACCTATTCACAAGGACAAAAGTCTTGGAGAAAATGGTGGCATAGGTGTTGGTTTACCACCCATAAACCCTAAGGGAGTGCCAAATATGGAGCCAGTTGATATCAGTTCGCATAATGCTCTAAATACGGATGCAGGCACATACCCCGTAAGGAATGCGCATAGGGAGGCCCAACCCGACAGCCAAAGAACACGAGGAATGGAAGGAGGAGTCAGCCTCCAGGTGATATTCGAAAAGTTGCAAGCCCATCAAGTCGCCATCGCTCAACTTCAGAGTCAGAATCAAACTCCAAATACAGCCGAACCAGTGAACACGCGGCGTGTTGAACCAGCGCTAGAGAGGCCCGATGAAAGTGGCTCAGGGACTGACCCCACAATTATGAAAATGCCCGAAGAGCTTGCCAAAAGGATTGAGACCGGAGAAAAGAAGATTAAAGAAAATGACAAAAAGGTGGAGACATACAATTCAAGGGTCGATCAAATACCGGGAGCACCTCCAATTTTATAAGGACTACTCGAA